CAGTGGAAACAGTGTCAGACTTTTTTGGGCTCCAAAATCACTGCGGATGGTGATTGCAGTCATGAAATTAAAAGACGCTTACTCCTTGGAAGGAAAGTTATGACCAACCTAGATAGCATATTAAAAAGCAGAGACATTACTTTGCCAACAAAGGTCTGTCTGGTCAAGGCTATGGTTTTTCCAGTGGTCATGTATGGATGTGAGAGTTGGACTGTGAGGAAAGCTGAGCACCGAAGAATTGATGCTTTTGAACTGTGGTGTTGTAGAAGACTCTTGAGAGTCCCTTGGACTGCAAGGAGATCCAACCAGTCCATCCTAAAGGGGATCAGTCCTGGGTGTTCATTGGAAGAATTTGATGCTGAAGCTGAAACTCCAACACTTTGGCCACCTGATGTGAAGAGTTGACTCATTGGAAAAGACCCTGATGCTGGGAGGGACTGGGGGCAGAAGGAGAAGGGGACGACAGAGGATGAGATGGCTGGACAGCATCACCGACTAGATGGACATGAGTTTGAGTAAACTCCGGGAGTTGGTGATGGACAGGGAGGCCTGGTGTGCTGCGATTCATGGGGTCACAGAGAGTCGGACACGACTGAGCGACTGAACTGAACTGTACCTAACATGATGAATGGATCAGCATTTTGGAGACTCTGAGACTTCAATTCTGGTCCAGCCCTGTCATTGACACGATCCTACTTCCATCATTTAGCATCTTGGGTCTCAGTTATCCTCACTTTAAAAGAAAAGGATGGAAAAGAGGTGATCCCAGGCCCTTTCCAACTGCATCCACAACCCACAAAATCTCTATGAAAAAAAAAAGACTTTTTCAGAAGGAGATTTTCTTGAGGAATTCTTTGACGAAGGATAAACTGAACGCCATGTCTAAATCAAACTGTATTAGGAGCCAAACAAATATGTGAAGGAAGTGGATTATTGATTTCAAACTCTGTATATCAGGGCAAAATCAGAATTAGAATATTCTGAATGAAAACCACAGAAGAATTATAAAAGAGAATTGGATGGAGAAACAAACAACTGGATGGAGAATAGTTTTCATTTTGCCACTCACAACCCAACACTGCTCCCAAATGCTCAGTGTTGTAGCTTTTAGTAGTATTAATACTATTCTCTACATCTTCAACCTTTGGAAACACCTTTCACTGACCAGACCTTTTTCTCCCAAGTATATACAATCTGTCATGGACAACAGTCACTTCCTCAGTCTCACTACTGTCAGGTCTGTCTCTTCGCTTAAAATCACCCATTATACCTCTCTGAGTCTTATCTATTCACAAATACCTCCTCACATCTTATCTGCTCCCATGGAACCTGCCAGACAACTCTGACCCCCGTGCTGTCTTTATTCTGAACTGCCATGGTTTGCTTAGGGTGAAGTGGGGTGAGGGCAGTCAAATATATTCATCAACATCTAGTATAAAGGCGCTGTGGCAGATGCTACACATCTTTTTCGTATAGAGAAGTAAGTGTAATCATGAAAAGATTAAGTAATTTTTCCAAGGTAAACAATGGTCCTCAACCTTGACTGCATATTGGAATCACCTGAGAAGCTTTTAAAAATACATTGATGCCTGAGTTCCTCATCCAGTGGTTCTGATGTAATCCGTCTAGGGCCCAGCCTGGGCGTGAGGAATTTTAAAACTTTTCCAGCTGACTTTTAAAAAAATTTGTTCATTTGTTTTTGGCTGCGCTGGGTCTTCTTTGCTGCACGGGCTGTTCTCTCGTTGCGGTCAGCGGGGACGACTCTCTCCTTTTTGATATGTTGGCCTTCTCTTGTTGCAGAGCACAGGCTCTAGGGCTGCCGGGCTTCTCGTGGTTGCAGCTCGTGGGCTCTAGGGCACAGGCTCAATAGTTGTGGCACACAGGGTTAGTTGTGCCACGTCAAGTGGGATCTTCCCAGACCAGGGGTTGAACCTTTGTCTCCTGAATTGGCAGGCTGATTCCTTACCAGTGAGGCACCAGGGAAGTCCCTCAGATGACTTTAAGGTACTGCACTGAGGTCCACAGAGCTCCATGGAGGCAGAGCTCAGGTCTGTCTGTCCCCAAAGCCCAGGTTCTTTGAGCTCCACTCTTTTTACTCAATTATGAATTACCGATTCTTAAGCTTTTGACATGTATAAATAGTAATTTTATACATGTACGTTAACTCTTCACCTGATGATGATTTTTGAAGTTTCACATTACAATTAAGAGCATGGACTCTGGGACAGTCTTCAGCTCCAATCCTGTATATTTTAAATCAAGTGCTCGGGGCTGGTTCCCTGGGATGACCCAGAGGGATGGGATGGGGAGGGAGGTGGGAGGGGGGTTCATGATGGAGAACACATGTAAATCCCATGGCTGATTCATGTCAATGTATGGCAAAAACCACTACAATATTGTAAAGTAATTAGCCTCCAACTAATAAAAATAAATGGAAAAAAAATTTTTTTAATAAAAAAGGAAAAAAAATTAATATACAGCCACCTCCTAGCTGAAAGATCTTGGAAAAGTTACTTAACCTTTCTGAGCCCCAGTTAATACTGCAAGGGGGTAATAGGGTGGTTCTGAGATTAAATAAATTAGTGTATTTAAGTGCTCAGAGTATCCAACATCTGAGAGGTGCTATAAAAATGTTGACTATTTCTTTTTTAGTAATATTTAATAACTACTTCTTTTTAGATAACTATTTCATTATCTTATTTTACTAACGAGAATGCCTAATACCTAAGAGGGTAAATATGTCAATAATGTATTAAATTAAAATCATCCTGGATAGAGAGTTATATGTATATAGAGAAATGGAAGGTCATTCACCAGACCTGAAATTTTGGAGATATTACTTTGAATAAGGCAGTTTTCTGGAATTCTCATTAAGTTTAAAAATCAAAGCAAAGAAAAAAATTTATGGTGAAAGGAATAAATAAGTCCACATTGCTTTTGGACTGTCCTGTATTTCAACTTCCTGCTCCTGCTGACACAATTTGCCCCAAAGCAGTTCTGCTGTGTGTTTTCTTCTCTTCCTTGGAAGGCATGCTGTTCTCATCTCCTTTCCCTTCTATTTTCTTCTGTCTCTCCCAGTTTCTGTCTCTTAATAGACACATACTTCTTCCCTTTCTGGGATCCACCAGTAAGAGCCATAAACTAGATCTGGTTTCTGTATTTTATTATTTGTAACTATTTCCACCCCCACAAACACTCACATACACAATTCTGACATTCCTGAGTCATGAAATGCAAAGTGTATTTTACCATCCCCTGAAAGTAGAAATTCTTCCCTCTAAAATTAATGTCACGGGCTTCCCCGGTGGCTCAACAGTAAGGAATCTGCCTGCAGTGCTAGAGTTGTGGGTTCAGTCCCTGGGTCAAGAAAATTCCCTGGGTCAAGAAAATTCCCTGGAGGAGGGCAGGGCAACCCACTCCAGTCTTCTTGCTGAGAAAATCCCATGGACAGAGGAGCCTGGCGGGCTACGGTCCATGGGGTTGCAAAGAGTTGGACACGATTGAAGTGGCTAGTATGCACGCAAAATTAACGTCACACCAGATACTTTTGTTAGCAGAACCACAAATCAAAGCCAGAAGGGACAAATTTGTTTAAAACTTTCCTTTGTAACTCAAAAAGTAGCCGGGAATATTTAGCTCCTCCATATTTTGAAGAGAAACGTGAAGCAGCAACATCAGCGAGATCTTTGGGGTACAGCGGATGTTTGCTGGAGACATCAAGGTATTCTCCACAGAAAAACACAAATAACTGCTCTGTATTTATGCTGATTCAGTCTCCATTTCTGAAAAGATGAATGGGAGAAAACAAAACTTGAAATCCAGGGGTTTCCCTGGTGGCTCAGTGGTAAAGAATCCACCTGCAGTGCAGGAGACACAGGTTCGATCCCTGGTCTGGGAAGATCCTACACGCTGCCGAGCAAGTAAGCCCAAGCCCCACAACTATTGAGTCTGTGCGCTAGAGCCCAAGAGCTGAAACTACTGAAGCCTGTTCGTCCTAGAGCCCTCGCACCACAACAAGAGAAGCTGCCACAATGGGAAACCCAGGCACCACAACTAAAGAAAAGCCAGCGAAACAAGGAAGCCCCAACACAGCCAAAAATAATTAAAATTATTTTTAAAAATCCAAATTATGTCTTGATATTTTCTAATAAATTATTAATGTGTCCACTCACCCTAAAAGCTGCAACATTTGAATACAGGTTACTTTATCCATAAAATAAGAAAGCTCTTACATGCAGTTTTTTAAGGATATTCATTTATCTTACAAACATTGGCCAAAGCTTATGCCTTACTCTGTGCCTGAAATTAGCTAGTAACAAAGGTGAGTAGGATATGTAATTGTGCTGGGTGCTTTAACTATGTTATCCCATTAAATCCTCATACCAATCATGTGAGAAAAATAGTACACTCCTCTTCTAACAGGTGAAAAAATTAAGGCAACAAAGCTAGAAAGAAGTGAAGAGATTCACAGCAAAAAGGCCATATATCAAATTAAGACTGTTCTTCAAAACAGTAAATTACCCGAATATTAAAAGAACTGTCTTATTATATATTGAAGCTCTTGATAGCAGAGAATATGATTATTGTTGGATTGGTAACTAAGCATGTGTTAGGCTAGGAAATATGTGTGGCCAACTACATCAGCGTCAGTGACTCCCTATAGACTTCAGTCCTGTGAAAGACCTCATGTACTGTTTGAAAATAAATAGCAATTGAGTAGTACCCAAACACTTTAGTTTTTTTATAAGCATGTGTTTTCACAGAACAGAATTCGTACTTGTCTTCAGCATAAACTGCGTTATTTCAGAACATGACTACCTGATGTGATTCTGTTTGGCTGGCAGGAAGCCATGCACTGTTCCCCTGGGTTTATATGAGTGTGGTCTCCTCACTGTGATTTCTGTAATGGTGTGCCATCCATCACTGAATTCTAGACTTTCTTGCAAACTGTAACTTCACCCATAGAAACTGCGGCAAAGAAGTTTTGCTGTCTGTTTCAGGCCAGTGGATCGTGCCTTGCCTTAGTTGTTCAGACAACAGGACCTGTGACTGGAGAGAAGTCACTTGGCAGCCCCACCACTGCCAATACGGTGTCCTGACCAAGCCTCAACTCCAGCAGTGCCTGGGAGGAAGGAAGGTAGGTTCTGGATTCTTCAGGGGAGACTTTTCATTTATGCCGCCTGCAGAACTGAGGACCACACAATTGTATCTCCTAGACCCATGCCTGCTCCTTCAGTCTGCAAAGGACAACTAACTGGATGCAGTTTGACTTTTTGAATGGATGCGTTATCATAGAAGAGCCTTAAGGATTCTTGCTCAAAATGCTCAATTGTTTCATTGTCTCCAAAGAAGACTACTTGACAGATTGAGGCTATTAAAATCATCTCCTGTGCTGACCCAATCCCATGCTGGTTTTCTCAGCACACATGGGTAAGAGCTGGCCACATCAACTGACAGTTGGTGGTTCCGAGCAGCTGGCCTTGTCAACTGCAGCTCTCACAAGGCACTGCAGTTGAAATGGCCATCTGTGGCTCAGACAGGCAGTGGAATGTTTCTGCATGTAAGACTTCTGCTCCAGCTCACCCCAGGCATGACACTGTTTTCACGTGCTAACCTTCCTGATCTTCTCTCACGTTCCCGGGCAGGTCTCGCGTGGACCTCGCTAGACTGCTTTTCCTTTAGTGCGGCTTCTAAGCTGGTTTCTTGGACATGTGGTGTCTCCTTGCTAGGCGTGCTCTGACTAGGTAGATTCCGGCAGAGTTCTCGGAAGTGCAAACTGGGCGAATAGACTGAGATGCTTGGGTAACGTGAAGTAAGTAATCCTTCTCCAGATTTTAAAGTAGTTTTTAATTAGATGGACATTTCCTTACAAACTATGTGTAAGCTGTCACACACAGGCAAGACTGTTTTCAAAAACCAACTTTTTAAAGATGCTCTATGAATGATAAAGAAAAAGAAAGTGTTAGTCACTCAGTTGTGTCTGACTTTGCAACTGTGTGGACCATAGTGCAACTGCATGAACTGTAGCCCACCAGCTCTTGTGTCCATGGAATTCTCCAGACAAGAATTTGATACATAATGATCACGTAATAAATATCTGTTAAGTAAATGAATACATTAAAATCGTGTTTATTCCTAATTATAAATCTGTGCAGTAAATATTGTTATATCTGTTTTCTACTTAAGAATATTGAAGTTCAGAGAGATTAATTCATCTGTGATCGTATAGATGTATGTGAGCTGGCACAATTTAGGCAGTTTTCACCACCAATCTGGACAATTCAAACTCCATATCCTAGAAATGTAGGACTGGAAGCAATGAGAATACTTGTTAATTTAAGAAGTCAGACTTCTCCATACCCTTTCAGAATATCATTCTGACCTCAGAATTTATAGTGGTCACGAAGATTCCAAGTAAAAGTGTTAGTCACTCAGTCGTGTCTGACTCTTTGTGACTCCATGGACTGTAGCCCACCAAACTCCTCTGTCCATGGACTTTTACAGGCAAGAATACTGGAGTGGGTTGCCATTTTCTTCTCCAGGACATCTTCCCAACCCAGGGACTGAACCTGGGTCTCTTGCATTGCACGCAGATTCTTTACTGTCTGAGCCATGGGGGGTGCCCAGAAGTCACACCTTTTTTTTCACACCTTTTCAGAATATCATTCTGACCCCAGAATTTAGAGTTTTCAAGAAGATTCCAAGATGTCACCATATATTAAACTGAAAGTAGATGTTAAAATTCATCACTAAAGTCTGTGGCTTTGGACAGGACATACTGTTTCTCAGGCTTATTTTGTTCATCTATTTAAAAAAAAAAAGTGTGCATCTTTATGATCTAATCCCATGCTGTAGATTTATCAACTTTGTAAAAAGTGAAACACCTTCTTCCCTCTGTCTTAAACTTCCCTAGCCTGAGTGTCTTAAATAGACATTTGTTTCTCACAGTTCTGGAGGCTGAGAAGTTCACGCTCACGGTGCCAGCATGGTTGGGTTCTGGTGAGACTCTGCCTCCTGGCTTTTTGTTGGCTGCCTTGCTCAGATGATAAAGAATCAGTTTGCAATGCAGGAGTAGGTTTCCATCCCTGAATCAGGAGTCAGGAAAATCCACCAGAGAAGGAAATGGCAAACCACTTCAGGATTCTTGCCTGAAGAATTCCATGGGACAGAGGAGCCTGGTGGGCTACAGTCCATAGAGTTGCAAAAGAGGAGGACACTACTGAGTGACTGACACTGTAACATATTAAGTAGAGAGAGCCAGAGCCAGAGACACAGAGACACAGAGAGCTCTACTGCTTTCCTCCTCTTATAACACAAATCCCTGAGAGGGAGGTGGGAGTGGGGATCGGGATGGGGAACACATGTAAATCCATGGCTGATTCATGTCAATGTATGACAAAAACCACTACAATATTGTAAAGTAATTAGCCCCCAACTAATAAAAATAAATGAAAAAAAATTAAAAAAAAAAAAGACACAAATCCCATCATGAAGCCTGCACCCTCATGGCCCCATCTAAACCTGATGGGGGCTTTGCCAGTGGGTCAGTGGTAAAGAATCTGCCTGCCAGTGCAGGACACCCAGAAGACATGAGTTCCATCCCTGGTCGGAAAGATCCCCTGGAGGAGGAAATGGCAACCCACTGCAGTATTCTTGCCTGGAAAAGTCCCACAGATAGAGGAGCCTGGCAGGCTACAGTCCAGAGGGTTGCACAGAGTCGGACATGACTGAGCAACTAAACAATAACAGACCTGATTACCTCCTAAGGCTCCGCCTCCTAGTCCTGTCACCTGTTGAGGGCGGGATGGGGTTAGGGTTTCAACAAGTGAATTTCAGGAGGACACAAGCATGAAGACCACAATGCTGTCTTTGTTCATTTCAAGGCAAATTATCAGCAACTCTACAAAGTAATGATAGGAAAAAGGGAAGATCTTCTTACCTGTTTGAGATGGTGTTACGAAAACTGAAAATAAAGGTGTGTGTTCAGATCAGGGGATCCCCACACAGACAGACCAGCCAGGGCTTCTCTTAGTGACTGTTTGGGTCCAGAAGTGTCCTTCAGACATGCAAGCTTAAAAACTCAAATTTACGAGCACACTGACCATGGTCCTAATGCTAGGACCATGCTCCAAGTAAATTAGTATCCTGGTCTGTTTTGTTTACCAGAATGCTAATTTAATCTATACACAACAGGGAAGTATGTACATTTTTATCAGAAGAGCACAACCAGAATTAGCAAAACCATCCTGCAAGCAGTATGGAGAGTGCCTGTGGAGAGGAAGAAATGGGTGTGTGTGCCAGGGAGGCAGAGGCTGCTTAATGGAAAAATTCCATCATCGACACTGAGGAGGCAAAGAAAGTAAAGAATATGTATAGAATAATCCCATCAGCATAAAACCTAATGCCTCCATGCTTACATACACAGAAAATTTCTGGAAGTAACAAGCCTTAAGAGTGATTACGTAAGTGCAAGGGGGTTGGGGAAGAGTGGGATGGTGACAGGATTGGCCATAGGTACTGCCAAGCTGGGGGCAAAACGGAAATGCGGGACCCTGTGGTCAATAATTATTACGAATTTTGAGAAGGCAAAAGCAGAGCCAGAAAGCAAGTACAGGACCCTCATATACACAGACCCTATGTGAATGCCCAGGTCACATGGCCACAAAGCCAGTTCACGTAGTAAATTATGGTTTTGTGTGTGTGTGTGTGTGTGTGTGCATGCTCAGTCATATCTGATTCTTTGCAACCCCATGGACTGTAGCCCACCAGGCCCCTTTGTCCATGGAATCTTCCAGGCAAGATTATTGGAGTGTGTTGCCATTTCCTTCTCCAGGGGATCTTCTTGACCCAGGGATTGAACTCTCATCTCTTGCGTCCCCTGCATTGGCAGGCAGATTCTTTACCCATGCACCACCTGGGAAGCCTAAATTCTGGTTGATCAAGTGTAAAGATATCTTTTTATATACAGGTTTCCTCCACTATCCACAAGTAGAGCTCTCCAATGAAGTCTTTGGTAAATCGAAATAGAGGAAGCTGAAGAGTACTCCCCATTTTCTGAAAGTTCAATTTACAGTTCTTTGCTTTCCTGAAATTCCTAGGTTAGTACCTGTTTTTGCTCACCAAAAGAAACCTAAAGAGGACATTTGCTTTTAGGAAAAAAGCCTGTCCTAATGTAGATCTTTTATAAAAAGAAGTGGCATAAATTGAACTTTTGGAAAGCAGGGGATACATGTGTGTATTACCTTTATTTTTATAATAGTGAGCCACTTTTTAAATCCAAAAATCTCTATTTTAAAGAGTTGTATACATCAATACTTGGGCAGAGGTAGTGGAGATGAAAAGCAGGCAAAAATAGAAAGACCTTTTGTATTCCGAATCACAGGATTTGGTAATGTGCAGACAGGTTTATGTACTCATATACCACACAGCACAGAGATGGTCGTGTCAACATTCATGATTACGACTATGAAATAACACTTATTTGCAGCAAGCTCCACTTATGACTAGGGCTTGATAACAGAATATTATCCCTGCATATCTATTTCTCATTCTCTCAGAGTAAAATGTAAATATACTTGTGATCTTGAAACTCTTTTCCTTTCATTACTGAGACAATTTCTCATCCTACCCAGAACTTTTTATAGTTACCATTCTATTTCAAAGACAAATGTTGGATTGGCCAGAAATTTCGTTTGGATTTTACCATAGGCTGTTCCATAACATGTTATAGAAAAACCTAAGTGAACCTTTTGGCCAGTCCAGTACATGTTAAAGCATATCGTTACAAAAATAGAAAAAGAAGTAACACAAACATTTTTTTATAAATGCTCAACTTTTTTGCGGGGCGGGGGGGGGGGGTCAGTAGGGGACACTTTTTGCCATGTCAAATGTTCAAGAAAAGAAACATATTATTTGAGTGATATTATACAGAAATTCAGTTTACAAATGCCTAAGTACAGCAGGGAGCAGTAAGTGCCTCTGACTGGCTATCAGGAATGAAGTGACTTTTTAAATTCATTGAAGACATCGGAGTAACTCTGCCGCCCCAGGTCAGAAACGTTGCAATCGCAGTTCTCCCTGACATGTTATCACAGAGTGGAATCCAGCTGATCACTTAACACAGTTAAGCCCAGACCA